CAGGGAGCAGCACGAGGGGACAGCTTGTCCGAAGACAAGTCGCGGACAAACGCCCGAGATCCCCAGACACGGAACACACACGCATCGCCAACCTTTTCCGTCCACAGCAAGGTTGGGGACATCGCAGGCCGAGAGACCCGGGGGTGAAGGTTGAGCTGATGCGCCGCGTACCTCACCGCAAACGGCCACAGAAAATGGGGGGCAGCCGCATGCATCATGGACGTACGAGCGACATCCATGACCATGCCAATGCGGCGCTCAGCAATCCCATTTTGCTGTGGTGAGTCCGGAAGCGTGAAGGTCTGGCGGATCCCCCGTGCACGACAGTAGTCTCGCAGAAGGCGAGAAGAGAACTCTCCGCCTCTGTCCGAGTGCAGACGCAGAACAGGAAAGTCCGAGCCGAAGCTCTTCCTGAGCTGGAGACGAGCCTCGCGGATCCACTCGATCAGCACCTCAGTGACCGCACCCTTGCTGCGCAAGGGGAGGACTGTGGTGTAACGCGAGTAGTCGTCAACCACCAACAGGAAGTAGCGCTCGTGACCCTGCCCACGGACGGGGGCTGGGCCCCACACATCCATGTGAAGCGTTTGCAGGGGAGCCTCTGTCGGGGGGAAGTGGGAGGAGTGAGGAGTAGCCCGGAGGCGACCCTCGACACAGGGGACACAGGAAGGTCCTGGCCCGGAGGGGAGAGGAGGGAGAGACTGGGGAAGACCAGAGACAAGGACACGGGACGCCATGCTCCGAAGACGGGGCAAGGAGGGGTGGCCAAGACGGTGGTGCCACAGGAGAGTCTCGTGAGATAGGAGGCGACAAGAACAGGGGGCAGACTCAGAACCTGACCGGGACGCAGCAGCAAGCACCTGACCCGACGCAGCCACCTGACCAGACGCAGGGACAGGAGGAGACTCAACGGTCAGGGTGTAGAGACTCGACCCCGGCCGACGCGAGAACGTGGCCAGGTGTCGGCCTGTGCGTGCCTCCGTGCAGTGGGTCACCCGCTGACTCGCAGGAGTGAACTGGTGAACCCCCACATCCTGCAGGTCCGCGCCACTCACCAAGTTCGTAGAGAACGAGGGAAGGTACAGACCAGACAGGGTGCCTGAAGGGGCACCCGGACACGGGAGGACAGTGGAGAAGTGAGACAGGACAAGACCCCCAGAGGGGTCAGCAAGGGAGACTGCAGCCGGCCGGCCGAGCGGCGTAAGGGTAGTGCGGTCTCGAAAGAAGGAGCGAGAAGCCCCGGAGTCAAGTGTGAAAGTGAGGGAGGACGAGGACGACGCAGTACCTGAGAGCGCAGTCTCACCAGTACCTGAGAGCGCAGACGCACTGGCACCTAGAGCAGCAGCCTCACAAGCACCTAGCGCAGCAGTACCAATGCCCGGGTGGGGCTGTAAACACCGGTAACCCTCATTCTCCTCACTAATAGTCACAGCATACATAGCAGCAAGGATAGCATCAAAATCAAGATCAAAGATCACTACGCCAGCCCTAAGAAGCTCATCCCAGCGAGGGATCTCACTAGCCCCGGGGAACTGCTGACGCCAAGCGTCCGTCAGGCGGCCAAAGCAGCGCTCGGTGGTGTGGGCACCCCCACACATCTCACCAGCGCGGTCGCCGGAACGAAGAACGTAGGTGCAGGGACCAGTACCCCCGCCCCTCTGACGCCCAGTGTACCACTCACGAAGCTGCTGAGGCGGAGGGATGTCCCGCGAGCGCTGCTGCTGCTGCCGCTGCGAGCGCTGGCCACCACCACCGCCGCTACGCTGCTGGGCACCACCCCGACCAGCTCCACCCCCTCCACCACCACCGCCTCCTCCGCTGCCGCCTCCACCGCCTCCACCTCCGCCGCCTCCACCTCCGCCGCTGCCACCACCACCACCGCTGCCACCACCACCACCGTCGCCGCCGCTGCTGCCACCACCACCACCACCCCCGCCACTACTCCCGCCGCCACCCCCACTCCCTCCGCCGCCACCGCCGCCACCGCCACCGCTCCCTCCAGCTCCACCCGCACCCTTGCCCCCCTTGCCCTTGCAAGAGCGACGTCTCCCACTAGGGGCAGACGCCGCGCCAACCGACTCGAGACCAAGCAGGTCGGCAGCAGCAGCAGAGGCAACAGAGGGCAGCAGGGGGGAAGGAGAGCACCCCTCAAAGATGGGGGTGCGAGGGTCACCACGAGAAGCTCCTACAGCAACGATGCTCTTCTCCGCCGCGAGGAGGGCCTTCTTGAGGACGTCGACGGTGAGGGTGGTGGGACAGACTGCGAGAAAGTGGTCCCTGACTACGCGAAGGGAGTCAGGGAGGCGCGCGACTACGTAGTAGAGAGTGATGTACATGGGGGGGGGGTTCTTAGCGCAGAACTCAGCAGGAAGGGCGGCGCGGTAGCGAGTGTCACTAGTGCGGAGGTGCGTAATGAGGTCAGCGACAGTGGGAAAGGCAGAGAGGTCAGGAAAGAGGTAGGGAAGCATGAGACGGCTCAGTGCAGCAGTGGCAGGGGAGGAGTAGCGCGCAACTACAGCGTCGTACAAGGTCTGAGCACTCTTGTACTGACTAAAGTGCGCACACTCAGAGGTAGGGAGGTGGCGACGCACAGCAAGACGTGCAGCAGCATCGCGGGTGGCCCAATGAGAGCGGACAGTGGGATCAGCATCAGCAGCAGGAGCAGGAGAGGCGCCAGAGGTGAGGTCAAAGAGAGACAGGCCGTCTGCTCTGTCGCACTGTAAGAACATCTGCAGGTCGTCTAACCAGACCTCAAAATCAATGGCGTGACCCTCAGCGTCAAAAGCTAGGACACTAGGGGTAGCCATGGTGACGACAGCGAAGCAGTGCAACCAGTAGGGGAAGAGCACGCAGTGGCAGTGGGACTGTGCTCACCAGGCAGGGCAGGTCGTGCAGCTCTGCAGAAAGGCGACTCGGCGACCGGGCGGCTCGGGTGCACAGCGGCTCGGCTCCCGGGCGGCTCGGCGGCAGGGCGGCTCGGGTGCAGGGCGGCTCGGCTCCCGGGCGGCTCGGCGGCAGGGCGGCTTGGGGGCAGGGCGGCTCGGCTCCCGGGCGGCTCGGCGTAGGGCGGCTCGGCTCCCAGGCGGCTTGGCTGCACCGCTGCTGCAGGTGGGGCGGCAGGGCCGCGTGAAAGAACCGGGGCGGGGCCGCGTAAGAGCCGGCGGCAGGGCCGCGTGAGGGCCGGCGGCGGGGATGCTTGAGAGCCGGGGCAGGGGCCGCGTGAGAGCCGGGGCGGGGCCGCTTGAGAGCCGGCGCGGGGGGCCGCTTGAGAGCCGGGGCGGGGCCGTAAGAGAGCCGGGGCGGGGGCGCGGCAGGGGCCGCGTCAGGGCCGGCGGCAGGGGCCGTAATAGAGCCGGCGGCGGGGCCGCGTGATAGCCGGGGCGGGGCCGCGTCAGGGCCGGTGGCGAGGCCGCGAGAGAGCCGGGGCGGGGCCGCGATCAGGAGGCGGCGGCGGGGCCGCGTCAGAGCCGGCGGCGGGGCCTCGTCGAGGCGGGCGGCGGGGCCGCGTTGGAGCCGGCGGCGAGGCCGGCTAAGAGCCGGCGGCGGGGCCGCGTCAGAGCCGATGGCGGGGACGCGTCAGGGCCGGCGGCGGGCTGCGATCAGCGGGTGGCGGGGCCGCGTCAGAGCCGGCGGCGGGGCCGCGTCAGAGCCGGCGGCGGGGCCGCGATCAGCGGGCGGCGGGGCCGCGTCAAGCAGGGGTGGCGGGGCCGCGTCAGAGGGACAGCGGGGCCGCGAGAGCAATGGCGACCCGAAGGGTCGCGAAAAAAAAAATTGCGCGCCTCGGGGCACGCTTCGGTGGGCCCTAAAAAAAACGGTCCTTACGAAGGACCCGCTCTATACCATGTGAAAGATAAGAGAACAGGAATGAATGAACTAGCAGTGAAATGAGTACAAGTAGGAAACCCTAGAATTGTGTACCCCCTATAGGCTAACCCACTGTAGCCTACACAAGCATAACATATATAATGTTTGACAGTGAACTGGCCTTGTGGCCTTGCTCTTGTGCTCGGACTGTGTGGTGACGTTGTGATCCACCCTGAGCTTGCTTTGCTTTGCTTGACTGGTCTTGTGACCCCTTGTTCTCCCCCACTCTGCCTATGGGGGTGTGTCCGGCATATATGCTATAGTCTGTGTAGGCTGTAGTGGGGCAATCCATATGGGCTACAACAGTTTAGGGTTTGCTACTTGTACTCCCCTTTCTGTTCAATGCATCCATTCTCGTTTCTCATCACACTTTAAAGCCCAAGGTCAGCATGGTAAATTTTCAAGTTATGCGGGGTTGAAACAGTATGGCGAAAATAATAATATCGTGTATTTCGGAAATGTGTGTGGGGCGAAAGCGAATTCAAGAGGCGGGAGAAACGGCCTTCGCCACGATACTATGCGACAGCTGTTTCCAAGGATATGGGAGGGCCAAACGACTGTGTGTGTGACAGAGCACTGCTCCAGCCCCACCACTGCTTGTTGCGCTTCTCTTGGGGTTGAAATCGTGGGCAACGCGAAACTCATGCGAGTGAGAGTAAGGCAGTACACTGAACACTATTTTAACAATTTCTGATTTACTAAAATATCTGGATGCTTTTGAGACTTCACTTGAGAAAAACACAACACTTCAAGTGCTGATTAGGTGCAGAAAAGCATTGCAAGCAAATTGTGAATTAAAAAAAAAAAAAAATGAAATATCAAGAAACGCATCACCAATATATTTTGGGAACGCACTCTCTCAAGCTCAGATCCCTCAACTCATAAGGATCTCGGCCGGCCACATATCGACATGCCGTGCTGGTCCCTGCACCACTCTGCACTCCCCCGGCCCACAGCAGTGCAGACCTGATGTGCGCTACCGCCATCATTTCTGCCAGCATGGTCTGCCCCCTCACGCATCAATGCTCCGCGGCATCCTGCTGGGCAGCAGGGGAGGCTGAAGACAGCTTCGGGAGGAGGCTGCCTCAGAGCTCCGCCAGCAAGCCTCAGGGCAGATCCACTCGAAGATCTGCTGGATGCGGTGCTTCGGTGGCCTGCCACGAGGAAGAGGGGGAGCAGAGGGGGAGGGAGTGGGGAGAGAGTGACGCTCATCACTAGTGCCAGGGGATGCAGTCATCGAAGAACTTCTGCATGCGCGTTCGTGTTGCTATGCACCGTGTAGAGAAGGGAAGGGGATGGGGGGAAGCAGGGAAGGGGATGGGGGGAAGCAGGGAAGGGGATGGGGGGAAGCAGGGAAGGGGATGGGGGGAAGCAGGGAGCGGGATGGGAGGAAGCAGGGAGCGGGATGGGGGGAAGCAGGGAGCGGGATGGGGGGAAGCAGGGAAGGGGATGGGGGGAAGCAGGGAAGGGGATGGGGAGAAGCAGGGAAGGGGATGGGGGGAAGCAGGGAGCGGGATGGGGGGAAGCAAGGAAGGGGATGGGGAGAAGCCTGGCGGAGGGAGGGGGGAAGCAGGGTGAAGGGAGGGGGGAAGCTTGGCGGAGGGAGGGGGGAAGCAGGGCGAAGGGAGGGGGGAAGCAGGGCAGAGGGAGGGGGGAAGCAGGGCGGTGGGAGGGGGGAAGCAGGGAGGAGGGAGGGGGGAAGCGGGGAGGAAGGAGGGGGGAAGCAGGGAGGTGGGAGGGGAGAAGCAAGGAGGAGGGAGGGGGGAAGCAGGCGGAGGGAGGGGGGAAGCAGGGTGGAGGGAGGGGGGAAGCAGGGTGGAAGGAGGGTTTTATATAATGTTTGACAATCAGTCGCTGCTGCGAGCTGCGCGACAAGCTTCTTCGATGTGGAGGATCGATTTCAGAAGACGCCTTCGTCACGGTTGTCATCGGCGGTCTTGGTCCTCACTGGCGCTCCACTCGCGCCATACTACGAGCACACGAGAGAATCTCCGAAGCAGCACTCTGCGCCGAAATCCATGCTGAGCAGCAAGACATGGACCTGCAAGAAGAACGACACAAGAGAAAGGTATCAGTAACCGAATTCGCGTTTTACACTCAACGGCGCCACAACAACAACAACAGTCAACCAAAAATCGTACCTCCGTTCTGCCACCTCTGCAAGACTTCAGGGCATCCTCGTACGCACTGTCCGAATCGACAACAGTCAACGTCGCCACAATGCCAACTTCGCCCTTCAAGCAGTCAAGTCGCCTCAACGCAAGCAAATCCGACAACTTCGGTACAAGTCTCAACAACATCGACCGGGCAACCTGCGAAAGAAACAAGAAACATCATCAGCTGCATGGCAAGGGTGAGCGACTTCTGCGTAACTGAGTCACCACCCTATTACTCACCAGAAGAACAACTTGACAACAGCACGCCTCGCCACGAGTCACTTCAACCAAACCCGACGTACGCCGCCATCGCTCGAAGCGAACCGTCCGGGAAAGACACATGGTTCTTGGACAGTTGCTGCGGACAGCACATGTGCTCCTCGGGACGCTTCGTTCAACACGAGCACCGACTTCAACGAGAGGTCGTCATCACAGTCGCCAATAACCAGAACCTGCGCACATGACGACAAGGGATTGTGCAACTTCAGTCACGAGAAACAAATGTTATACTACAGATGTCAAAAGTACTAATCGCGGAGGGACTCGGCTACAACTTACTGAGCGTTTGTCAGCTGATGGCGAAAGGCATACATCTCGAAGCAGACAGCACCACCCAAGAATTCAAGTTGTATCACGGGAGAGGTCTCTACATCGGCAAGGCGGTCCTCAAGAACAACGTCTTCGTCCTCGATTTTGTCCCTGACCTTGGCACCGCCGACAGCGACGCCATCGTTAACTTCACCGACTGGACACATCCTCCAGACCTTGATCCAGACTTCAGTCCGGAAGGCTTTTGGTATTCACATACCATTCCTGAAGCAGAACGAACACGCGCGTTTGTAACAATACAACATTCGGCAGCAGCAGAGACAACATCGCCAGCAGCAGAGATATCATCGGCAGCAGCAGAGACAACATCGGCAGCAGCAGAGACATCATCGGCAGCAGCAGAGACATCATCGGCAGTAGCAAGAACAACAATAGTAGCAGCAACAACGACACCAGTCCTCGTTGACGAAACACCACCAACACCAGCATAACAGCTCCACCTAGCACCACGAGAAGTTCATCGTAGCGCAAACTTGACCACCAGCTTCTATTCCAACTCCGATATGTACCGATGATCACCCGGACATCGCGCCAACGAAAGCACCTGGCACGCAAGGATGGGACACCCAAGCAACACTGTGTTAAACAACACAATAAGAGCAGGAGTCCTTGACAAGGACTTGTTACTACTACTCGACGGCAGAGAACTCCAACGGGCACAAGGAACATGCCTTACCTGCCCCGAAGCCGACTTACCACATCGGCCGTTCGCTCCTCGTCACAACCCGAGCGCACCCGCGTACGCACCACTCGAAAAGGTGTATAGCAACATCCTGTACAATCGGGAACCATGACAAGTAATCTACAACTACACAATCACCTTCATCGACGCCGCCACCCGTTACGTCTGGCACCTAAACCTACCCAGCCGCGACATGGTCCTCGAAGCATTCGCTACTTGGCTACCAGTAGCAGAGAGAGAGTCGGGCGTAAAGCTGAAAAGCTTCCAGTCAGACGGAGGAGGAGAATACACCTCTCAGCGATTCAAGCAGTACCTGGCGGAAAGGGGGATCAAGCAGCTCCTCTCTCTTCCCTACGCCCATCAGCAGCAAGGTGTAGCAGAAAGAATGAACAAGACTCTGCAGAACAGCATGCGCAAACTGTTACGTGGCCTGCGGCTACCCAACCACCAGTGGCCTGCAGCAATGGACCACGCTGTCATGCTGCACAACTTGCTGTCGTCATCGTCGCTTCCGAACAACGCATCACCGCATCTGCTGTGGACAGGGAAACAGGGCAGCACAAAAATGTTACGAGTGTTCGGATGCAAGGTACAGTATCGACCCCCAGCAGCACGAGCGGGCCGATTTTCACAACGCGCACAGTGGGGACTACACCTTGGCATCGAAAAGAATTACAACGCGTGGGAAATCTTCGACGTCCACTCCAAGGAAACAGTAGCAGCACGTGACGTCATTTTCTACGAACGACTCACGCTCCAGACGTACCTTGCCAACCTGCAAGAGGACCAAGATCCAACAGGTGGTTTTCGTGGCGACCGAGCCTTCGCCTCCGCAGAAGACGAAGCTGACTGGGACGAGCAGAATGTGGACAACGCGTCAGAAGAAGCCGGACCTCTTCCGTTCTGCTCCGTCGACGTTCCCATGGACGAAGACAACCCTCGCAAAAGTGTCAACGCCGGAACCTTCTACTACTTCGCCGACAACGATTACGTAACACCTGCGATAGTCAACACCAACAAAGCAGAACGAGTAGGACCGAATTTCATACCTAATCCAGAAGCGGGAGATGAAGCAGCTTATCCAGAGGATGCAACTCTTCCCCGCTACTCACAGACCGGACTGCAGATACTCAGCCTCGTCACCGCAATCCACGGCAACACCCTTCCTAAGGAGCATGCGACGGTTCAGCAGGCTCTAGGGGGGGAACACAGGGAAAAATGGCGTGAAGCCATGGACAGAGAGTTAAAGGCGCTGGAGGAACGGAACACCTGGAAAGTTGTCCCCATCAACGTGGCAAGGAACAAGACCATTCTCACCGGGAAATGGGTCTTCCGCGTTAAAACAAATGCAGACGGCACAATTGAGAAGTTCAAAGCACGCTGGGTTGTGCGTGGATTTGATCAGGAGCACGGACGGGACTTCACCGAGACATTCGCCCCGGTTAGCCGGCATACCTCACTTCGAATCCTCCTCGCGATCGCCGCCATGAAGAAAAGGAAGCTACTGCAAATCGATGTCGCCAACGCGTTCCTCTACGCACCTGTCGACGCAGAGATCTTCGTGGAACTACTGCACGGTACTAACGGAGAGCCCAACCAGGTTTGCCAGCTGCTGAAATCGCTCTACGGAATCAAACAAGCCCCGCGGTTGTGGCAACAGTACCTACACGCTCGCCTCATTCGCATCGGATTCCGCCAACTACCTCACGACCAAGGAATGTACCGACTCACGAAGGGTACCAACTACATCCTGCTGATCGTCTACATAGACGACCTACTCTACATCGGCTCCAGTGACGACATCACCATCCGGCTCGAAGGGGAGTTACAGAGGGACCTCACACTCACGGTCTCCTCTAGCGTCACACAGTACCTCGGCTTGAACATTCGAGAGGAAGAAGATGCGATCTACCTCAACGCCACTAAGTACGCCGACACCATCGCCAAACGCTTCACGCTCACGCCTACCACCATCTCTACGCCCTACCGCTACGCGACAGGAAACCACGAGGAAGGATCCACTCTACTCAAATCTGCCGGACTACCAGAGAAAGCTAGGATGCCTTCTCTTCGCAGCCGTTACCTGCCGCCCCGACCTCTCATACTCCGCAAGCCAGCTCGCCACTCATCTCAAAAGGCCTGAAGCAAAACACATGGCCGAACTCGACCGCGCTCTACACTATCTCGTCAGTACGCCAACGATCGGCCTAACATATCACAAGAACGCGACCACGCCACCTAAGCTAATCGGTTACGTCGACGCAGATCACGCGGGCGACTCCGACAACAGACGATCACGCACCGGCTACATCTATCGCTTCGTGCCTATCGGGCCTATCTCCTCGCAATCGAGCAAGCAGGAACTAATTGCTCTCTCGTCAGCTGAAGCAGAATATATTGCACTCTGCTCAGCCACCAAGGAAGGACTCTATCTTCGCGAGCTGCTGGAAGAAGCGAAGTTAGCCGAGTTACCCAACTTTACCCTGTTCTGCGACAACCAGTCGGCAATTCGCATCGCCAACAAAAACGGTTTTGCGAACAGGACGAAACACATCGCCCTGCGATACTTCTTCGTGAAGGACGAGATCGAGAAGGGAAGGCTCGAGCTGTCATACTGCCCCACGTCCGAAATGGCAGCTGACTACCTGACCAAGAAGCTCGGAAAGCAGAAATTCGAATATTGCATGCTGCTGACTAGACAGAGCCACGTCAGCGACACTCCAGAAGCGAAGGGGAGTGTTGGAAAAAATCGGTCCTAAGCGCCTCTGTCGTGTCGAAACACTAAAGACACAAGTGAAGCAACGCATATCGAGGCACCAGCGAGTCAACCCTCGGAAGTTGAAGCAACAGCTGGAGGTTACGCGAAGGTCAAAGGTCAGCGACCTTTGAGTTGACAAATGCAGCGCGACAACAAGGACACACAACTGACTCGATATTGAGCAGTTGCCCGAGTCGCACTGTATCGAACCGCAACAGCCAACAGTAAAACAGTTATCATTCGTATCTCTTCGTATTCCTTGTAATCATATATAAAATCTTGTATCTCCTTGTTTTAATCAACTTACTTTGCCCTCACATACTAGCGCAAGGTGGTTCAGAATCTCTTTGTTAACGCTTCCGCTACTACATCATTCTACCCAGAGATTAACCCTACCAAAGATCCTAAGGGGCATTCAGCCCAACAAGCGGAATGTACCCCAAGTTGCCTATTATAGGTGACGTTAAGACGCTCTAGATCCAAGTTGAATCAGGTCATTTGAAGCTGTGAACAGAACGTTATGAACGTTTAAAGCCACTCTGCAGAAATCAGACTTTGCACTCTGTCTTTCGTTTTAGGCACATTTGAGCCTACTGTGACTGAAAGAGTCTCTAGGATCACCTCATGAAGGT